CTGAAGGATTTCTTTGTCAGTGACTCCCTCATACTGTTGTAGAGGCAACATAAAAACATAGACCCTAGGGCTATTTGGTTGCCAGAGAGCAGGGACTAGGCAATCCTTAGGTGCAGCTGCACAAGCTTCCCTTCCCCCGAGGCTAGGATCCATTAGCTTAGTAGGATCCATACGAAGACCAAATGCCCCATGGCAATGACTGGCTCAGTGGATGGCTTCTTAGAGAATAACTCCATAATTTTCTTGTAGGAGCCTGCACTCTTGATCTTGCTCTCCAAATCAATAGGGAGAGCGGTGTAGGAGTCATGCTTCTTAAGGATCGTGTAGAAGTTCTCCTCCTCAGTGATAGGCAGTCTTAGGAACATGAAGATGTCCCATAAAGTGAGGACCATAGGGCTGAGCTCGAAGATAAAGGCATTACAGCCCGGAGTTAGAAGCTTAAGAGGGCTGTTAGAAGCTCGACAAGGACATTAACGTCGGCCAAGGATAGCTAAATTAGGTTATATAAACTCATCTCCTTCTACTGAGATGTATACTCTGACTTCAAGCGCCTTACCTAGTTGACTCAAGTGTGAGGAGACTGGGGCCAATTCCTGAGTTTTTTGTAGGATAACTCGGGGAAGGGTGAAGTTGTTCAGGCCAATCCTAGGTTGCGAATGGAGGTTAGTGGCCATGGATTTGGTTGAGTAGGGGCTGTGACTTCGGACAGGTCGGGAGAGATGGTCAGGGACCCAACATCACTTTTATTAGAGATTTGAAAGCTCTAAGGAGAAGTATTGGAAAAGAAAAATAAAGCATAGTTAACATACTTCTCTAATAAAATAGAAGGGCTAAACATGAGGAGCGAGAAACTTACTAGAAAGCCACCGATTTGTGGAATGAAGAATCCTCCTGTAAAGAAAACAAACAACTATTAGAATGAGGAACCAATCTAGGGGAAAAAGGGTTTTCAGACCACTGCATATGTATCGTCACAAATCCTTTGAGTGGGGTAACAGGATTTTAGATAGTCACTAGAGAATCAAGCAGACTCCTAACAGAGGTGGAAGATGGAGCAACAACAGAAGAATCAATAAAAGTGGAGGAAGCCATTTGAGAGCAAAGGTAAGAGGAATACAAGAGAGTGGATGCTTGAAGTTCAAGAAAAGGCAAGAGAAGTGACAAGAAAAAAGAAAAGAGTTTATATCAGCCAAGGGCGCTCAGAAACTAAGCGACGTTTTAGTTTTTTCAAACGTGCCACATGGCTTACGTTACTAGCTATTGGCATGCGAGGGGCATTGTTTGGGCTAAATATGAAACGTTGCTCAAATAAGTCACAGGGCTAATTAAAGCGTTAGGCCCAATATAAATGAAAGGGGTCAACCGCGAGGCTCAATAAAGGCCACAATAAGTAAACATGCCAGAATCTCATCAGCTGCAAATATTAGACCATTGGCACAATGACATGATCTTAAGTAATGTTGAAATCTATGCCCAAGCATCTCGATGAAATGAGCTGGTTACTAAAATAGAGAGCATGTAATAAAGACCGTGCCATGATTTTTGTGAGATCTTTGATTCTTCAGAAAAACATGCTAGGTTTCAGGGAAAAGGCTACTGCTACTTTGACATTATAAATAAAAGAAGAATGCAGAAGAAACTAGTCAATACTCAATCAAAGACTCACAATTTTACATTCGTTAGCCCTTTTTAGTTTTCAGTTTTAGGTCTGTAATCTTTTTACATTTCAATAACAATCAAACACTTGTTCTACTAAAGTCTTGTATCTTTTTACATCCGAGTAAATTGTGGTAAGGGAGCTTAGGACCCTTTTGTTATCAATTGAGACTCAGTGTCTCTAGCATGCTTGGTATTTATTGTTTATCACGAACAGTTAGATTATCTTTTCTCCATGTGAAGGTAACCACCTAACAGATGCTCTTGCAGGCTGGAGTTTTGAGTTGCCTAGGGGGACCACATCTTGGCATCAGGTTCTAGATAGGGTTGCTTTAATTTTTCTGGCTCATAAATGTAGATTTCCTTTTGAGAGGTGCTAAAGATTTTGGGGTTCTATGTTTGTCTTGTTGGTTAGGCTAAGGCCTTTGTTTTTGGCTGTTGCTATTGGGCTTTTGGCCCTTCTTTCTACCAAAAAAAAATGAAAATTATGAAAAATTTAATATTAAATTGGACTCAAATTAAATTTTAATCATATTGATAATAAAAAATTATTTTTTAATAATATTTATAAAATTTTATTTTAGTAAATATGAAATAAAAATCTAAAATACTACTTACATCCAAATGAAAATATGAATATTTCATAGTTAAATTTAAATAATCCAAATCTTATCATATTAGTGAGTATCATCTATTTATCAGTATGATAAGCATTCAAGTTGAGTTACTATTAATGTCTTGATAAGTATCATTTGCTTATCTGCTTGGAGCACTAAAGTTGAGTCCTTACTATTTGGAGTTTGGTTTTAGTATTCACCAGATGATGAGCAATCTAGATGGTCTAGATTTATTTATTTTATTTATATTATTTATATTTTTATTAAAATATAAAAATAAAAAATTAATAAGTTTATTTTATTATCAATCTAAACAATACAAGTTTTATTTAAATAGTTTAATTTAATATTAATTTTTTTAAAAAATTTCTGTCCAAAGTATATCTGAATAATCAATTTATAAATTTTTTTAAAAATTAATATTATATTAAATTATTTAAATTAAATCTGTACTGTTAGATTGATAATAAAATAGATTTATTAAATTTTTATAATTTTTATATTAAAAATATAATTAAAATAAAAAATATATTTTATAAAATCTGTCCAGATGCTCATCAGTGATGACTGATGAGCACGGCCAAAACTGTTTCCTACTATTTGTCTGTTATTATCGCTTCTGTCTAAAACGTCCCCCACCAAGATAGGTACGACAAACGGCGGACTAGAAGAGACGTAAGGCATGGTGGGTTCTCATGAGTGAACGAGGCGCGACGTTGACTTGAATGCTAGCAATTACAAACTGTCTTTCCACATCACAAATTCTTTATCTACTTCCATAGATTTTTTTTTTTAATCAATTCGTTTCATGATATAAGCAAAAGAAGAATCATAATCGAAGTCATAAAAATAAAGAAAGAAAACAGGGGAGGTAAGGCATAAGTGACGTAACAATTTTGTTTTCAATCTATGCTCTCACATGCGTGTAGCTTGCTTCGACCGGAGTTGCTTGCAACGGTAGCCAGAAGAAGGATTAGAATGAGAATAATCTTCCCTTGTTGACGTAAAAGGGAAGAGGGGAAGACAAAGAGAGACAAAGGAGGGTAATATCAAAATTCTTAAAAATTCTTATTTAATAATAATCAAAATTAAATATAAGTAAAAAATCTAACTTTATTTAAAGAAATTTAAAAATAATAAAATAATAATAATTTAAATTGAAATCTAAATCTTAAATCTAATTCAAATATTAAATATGTTGACATTTAATATAATGATAAAATAAAATAATAAATTCTAATTTTAATCGATAAATATCTTTATTTGAATATCCTTAATACATAATCCTAATATTTTAAATAAATTTTAATTATTTTAATTAATCATTGCTCCATTTTCCATCACTTGCGTCCTGTCTATTAACATGATAACTGTTGTTCTGCTTCATGTGCTTTTTTACTATGGCTTCTCCGCCCTGCTTAGCCAGATATGCTTTGAAGATCGGTGAAAACTTAACTAACAGTGGAAATTCCAAGCTCGTTTCAGTTGGAGAAAGCTTTGAACTGGGTTTCTTCACCCTTGATGCAAGCTCAAACCGCAAATACCTAGGAATATGGAATCTTAGGTTAGAACATACGCTTGTGTGGGTTGTTAAGAGAGACAAGCCCATCCCAGCTTGAACAACTGGAATTTTTCAAATTTCCCAAGATAGCAATCTCATTGTATTAGATTCAGAGGGGGCACGCTATTGGTCTTCCAGAATCAGACCCGGTCAAGGCTAAAGTGAAGCTCATGGATTCTGGGAACTTGATTGCAGGAGACGATCAATTTCAAGTGACCAACTGGCAAAGCTTCGAACACCCAACGGACACATTCCTGGTGGGCATTAAAATTGCTTCTCTTTTCATTTTTTATTTTTAAAAATTGTTTTGTAATATAATTTTTAAAATAAAATAAAATGAAAATTCATTTGATTATGTTAATTTAAAAATAATTTTAAAATTAAAAATAAACTAATAATGATAGTTATAAATAGTTAATAGTGGTGATTTATTATAAAAATTGATATACTAACTATAATTTTCAATAATTAAATACAATATATTTTAAAAATAAAAAATAAAATGAAAACAATTTAAAGTTATTTCTAATATTTTTAAAAAAATAAAAAATATTTAAAATAATTAAACTAAAAACACTTAGACAAACAAATTTTTAAATTTTTCTATTTTTAAAAATAATTTTTTTTTAAAAAAAACAAGCCCTTAGTCTTGACTTCTTGGAAAGCTTCTAATGATCCAGGGAGTGGGGACTTCACATTGGCAGTGGTAAAAACAGTTACCATACTTTCACCATAATTAAAAAAAAATCTTAAAATTTATTAATTTTATTTAAAACTTTAATAATTTTTTAATTTTATTCCTATCAAATCTACATACTTTAATAATTATTTTCTTTATCCAACATTTAATAGAAGCTAAAATAAAAAAAATTACAATAAAAATTTAATGAGATGACTTATAACTAAAACAAAAAAAAAAAATTCTTTTTCTATCTTATAAATAGGATCAGAGAGAGTATTGTTTTGGACTATTTAAATTTAATTTTTATAGATCATATTTATAGTTTTTTTTTAACTGGTACTTTTTAAATAATTATTTTTATTTTAAATTTTATATCTATTAAGATAATTTCTTAAAAAAAATAAAAATAAAAAATTGTAGATCTAAATCATCAAAACTAGATAGAGACGGTTTAGAGACGACGACGGAAACTAATTTCAATACCATCATGAATATTGCATACAGATGAGCACTGCCTCTGCTTCCATGTAGGATTCAATCATCTATAATCTATTGCTTTGCAGTGCGTAGTATATACAAGAAATATGAGGAGGAGATCATGAGGAGATTCATCCTCGATCCAAGTAATATGAGAACTGCTGCAGTCGTTTCCATCTCTTTCACCGTCTGGTTGCTGTGCTTTTCTCAACTAAATTTGGCTCAGGATACTCTGGGGTATGGCGGACAAGTTACTGGCTATAAAACCCTTGTTTCAAGTGACGGCAAATTTTCACTGGGTTTCTTTTCCCCTCGAAAAGAAGCGTTTTATTTGGGAATATGATACTTCCAGTCCCCGCAGTTTCCTATGAATATTATGGTGGTGTGGGTTGCAAACAGAGACAATCATGTTCTTGACTCCACCGCATCTTTTCAAATCGCAGACGATGGTAACCTCCTAGTATCAGACTCCAATGGAAAACACCACTCGTCTTCCGGACTCAAGGGATCTTCACCCTTAAACTGTACCGTCAAGCTCATGGATTCAGGAAACCTGGTACTAGTACGAGATAACCGGGGGGTGACAAACAATATCTGGCAGAGCTTTGATCATCCAACGGATACATTTCTGCCTCTCATGAAAATGGATAAAAGCATGAAGTTGATTTCTTGGAGAAGCTCAGATGACCCAGCAACTGAGGACTTCACCTTTCAGCTTGCTCATACAGAGGACAAAAGCAACAGCTATATCATTTTTAAAGGCCAAGACCAAATTCACTGGCAAACTTCAGACGCAATACCCTCGACGATAACGAATTTATTGGCAAACGACACTCAGGAAATTCAAGCTCCGTTAGGCAGCAGAAGTCGGACTATAATTTTACGAGGCTAGTCATGAATCAAACAGGGAAGTTCGAATCTTGGAGTAATCTCCAGAGACAATGGGTACTGTTGTTCAGCCAACCATCTGGGCAGTGCCAGATGTATAATGGCTGCGGGAATTTCAGCAGCTGCAATGCTAAAAATAACCCCGATGCCTGCAAGTGTTTGCCTGGATTTAATCGTCAACGGCAAATTAATTTCGGGGAATCTTCTAAAGTGTGTGCCAGAAAATCAGATTCGTGTGAAACAAAAGACATTACATTCTTAAACTTAACAAAGGTTAAGGTTAGAAGCCCGGGCAAGGAGGTCCCCGCAGGAAGTGAAGCAGAATGCAAATCCGTGTGCCTTAACACGTGCCCTCCTTGTCAGGCTTATTCGTATGATGCTAGGTGGTCGAATCGGCTTCATCCAGCGTGCACGATTTGGACTCAGGATTTACTCACTCTTCAAGAAGATGCCGGTCAAAATAGCAGCATCTCTCTTTCTGTCCGCTTACTGATTTCAGATATAGGTCAGATTCTTTTTCTTTTATTTATTAAAATAGAGTTTATGCACCATGCTTACTTCCATAACTCATAACTGTGATGGTTCAAGAGCTGATGTTATTATGGCGTGCTTTAATTTCTCCCGTTCCTTCCTGTGTTTCCAAAAAGCTTGATTTGCGAGCACCGACAACTATAATCTAATGTCCGTCAACTGCAACTTGTGCAGCACCAACTGCCAAAACCTGTGAACCTTGCGGCACGACAGTAATTCCATATCCACTTAGCACCGGACAAAATTGTGGAGATCCCTTGTACTTCTGGTTAAACTGTGACACATCAGAAGCAACTGGCGAGGTTAGGTTCATTATGCGTAAACTTGGACCTAAACGGGTAACTGAAATAGATCCGGGAGATCGGAAGTTGCGTACCAAATTGAAGATCCAAACTTCTGTTATAACGAAGGTGAAGGAGTTCAGCTCGAGCCACCATTTAATGTAACAAACTGGTGCTTTGCTCAAGATGCAATAGAAGTTAGTTGGCTACCCCCATCAGAACCTCTCTGTGAAATCTCCGAAGACTGCAACGGTTGGCCACATTCAACCTGTAACAATGATTCAAAAGATGGAAAAAGAAGATGCCTCTGTAATAAAAACTATCACTGGAACACCACAATTTTAAGTTGCACCCCAGGCAATTAGCCTTCTTGTATTTCATATGTCTGGCAACTTTTCCGGTCCTAGTATTTCAAAGCTTCGATCAAGATCAATTTTTGTTTTGCAGATCACTATTACATAATTATGCATATTTGACGAATATTTTCCTATATATTTGATGATTAAAAATTGTTAAATAAGCCCCTGTCATTTATGCAGCTCCATATATTTGATGATTATTTTAATTATCAAATATGTCATTATAAGGTACCATAAATCATGCTTCGAATGAAAAACAAGATCATATTTGATGGTTATATATGAGAATCGTCAAATATTAATGACTATATTTGACGGCTACATTAGATAACCATTAAATATATGTACATGTTTGACGGTTATCAAAATAACTGTCAAATATGCTGTAGAAATTTTTTTATATGGAAGCTATGTTTTAAGCAGTCTCCTGCAATAGAACTGACATTTCATAATTTAGACAATTCAGCAAATATATATTATTATCAGCAACATTCTTTCAAAATTAAAAGAACATGTACATATATACACATATACAGTACACATTAATTATAAACAAAGAAGTTGCAAATCTTAATCTTAAATCACAATTCTATCCTAAAAAATAAACAATAATTCCATCCTAAGCCACATTCGTTTTCCTTTCAAGCTAGACCAAATGTTCACTCACTAAATGTGTGAATTTTGTATGATCCATAGTTGAAATATGTGTTGGCATCACTCTTCCACGACTTCATTGATGTGAGCATCCTCAAATTCTTCACAATAAGCATAATCATAATATTGCAATTTAAATTATAACCATATCACGGTTAATTAGCTAACTAATGAAATTTTGCCATATATAAAATGTAAAATTAAATTAAATTTGAACCTTGGTAGGGATTGAAGTCTTGGCATGAGTAATGATGTCCCTAATGAATCTCATCACACAATATCCACAGTTCACCAAATCTGGTCTTTGACGCGGCACTTTAAAAACAAAACAAACAAAATATATTAAATTATTGAATAATTGTTAATAAATACTTGAATAATTAATGTTTAAACACGTACCCTTGTTACTATCCATGTGAACAATTGGTCGCATGTTTTGACCCTAGGAATAGTTAAAGATTCATCCGTGCAGTACAAAAACACAGCCTTAAAAACACAGAAGTTGGTAAGTTTGAAATATTAAAAAAACACAAGTATGAACTTAATTAATGTGCTTACTTGTTAATTAATTCGATCATATCTTTGCAATTATTCGGTTGTCTGCCAGTAGAACACATGTAATAGATAGTCAATTTCTCATATTTTTCTTCAGCCAGATTGAGGGCAATCAGCATCCAATGATCCCTAAAATAATTAACAATTGTAAAGAATATATAATAAATTAAAATAGTTAATAAAATTGAGAAAATACATTAAATATAATAAATAACTAACCTTTGCACGTAAGGTATCAAGAATAACCTCCTCCCCTTTTTAGTAGTCTTGGCTTTGAATGAATCGCATAGTCGCTTTATTTGATCTTCACGATCAGAATCCCTAATGTCATGGAAAGCAGCAATGTCATAGGGACAAATGAAGGTGAACATCTAGTAAGGTTGCAGAGCACAATGAGTGTATGATAGAGAAACCTAAAATGAATAAATCAAATAGATTAGCATATATTTATAAAAATAATGACCACTCTTGTATAGAAGAAGTACCTCAAATAAAAATTCATGACGATCGTGCTAATCATGCTATGGTGGAGTACTTCATCTACCACTTTGAGCATTATGTGATTGGTATGATCTCTATCATACATGTCATGCTCGAATGGGACATCTACAGTAGTAAAATCATGAATACTCCTTTGCATGTCTGTATATGCCCCTAGTGAAGTTAGGAATTTATGTGACAATTGAGGCTCCGTCTTTTGAAGTAGGGGAGGTGCGGTAATCTTTGACTCATGGCCAGTTGATTATTTGCTAGGGATGTTTTTTCCCTTGGACTATATAATAGAGATAGTTAGAGATCAAAAGTTATTATATATATATATACCTTATCTTTGTTTGAGATCATCTTTATAAATGATATATATATATATATAAGGCAGTGGGCCATGCAACAAAGGTGCCTAATGCATCTTTTATAGTCATCACATCCTCAATGGAAATGGGCAGCTGATAGTTGTCATCCAAAGAAAATTTTAGACAAACTCGTATGTGGCCTAGAGGAATTGGCACATTATATATAATGCCCCTAGGGACATTATACATTATACCAATTGCAACCACACGACAATTTGGACTGTTTGCCAAAAACTCACATTCGGCTTCACCCTAAAGCAATGGAAACATTTATAAGTTATTAATACAAAAATGAATATAACTAAAGAAAATATTAATATTACCTTAGGAAGGTTTGGATGAGAAGGTTGAGCTATAGTGCAACTATCTCTCTTACTATTAGGACTAATTTCCATAGGAGTGGAAGTCTTTCCCTGGGACGTGAGCAACACATCGACCAGGCGATGTAGCCTATCAACCTCATATTTTAATGCACTAAACTTAGCTAAAGAAGGCGTTGCAATTTTTGATGGATTTGTAGTCCTAAATACTTGCTTTTTGGTGACACCAAAACCAACACCCTTAACACGTCTAGGGTGGTCAAGATTACCCAATGCTTGACTCAAGATATCTTCATCCTCCGGTTGCTCACCCTTTGAGACTTTATATGAGATAGTAGCTTATATGACACAAATTGAAAAATCTAAATTATTTGTTTGAATGAAAAACTTGAATTTATTATGTCAAATGAATAATATTGATACTTACACATTTATTAGTTATCTCCTAAACATGTTCATCTATAATGTTACCCTCTTTGTTGGTTCAGCAGGATATGTTACTAACTCCTGTGCCTTCTCGCTCAATCTATGCATGTCAATAGCAAAAGAATTAGCAATTAGCAAATATAACAAATAAATATGGACTAAATTTAAAATTAATAAATATTAGTAATTAGTTTCCTCCATGTGTGAATACCCCACAAACCCTTTCTTAAAAGGATATGGATTTTTCTTAACCAACTCCTAATTTTGTTGGCTCAATTGTTGTGAAAAAAATTAAAATCAATTAAACTTATAATATAACATAATATTATTAGAAAATTAAAATCAATTGGTAAAGTACGATCACCTGAAATTCCATTTGAAAATGAGATGCAATAAATTCATCCCATTGTTGTTGGGTTACCAAAGGTCTAATTAAAGTGGGGACCTCATAACTAATGTTTCCACCCGCTCTTTTAATATATTTTAATCCCACAAAATATCAAAAATAATGCATTGCTCTCCCAGCTATTTGAAGGACATACTTCCTTCGACTAGCATCAATTATAAATGCTGACTGTAAAAATATTAGCATGTTATTAGTAAATTGATAAACTATTATGGGCACAACAGTCACATAATGGTAAGTTAATGAATATACCTCTACTTGTTCTTAAATATACTGCCTCGTAGATTGATCTATCTTTTTTCAATTTCTCAGTGCGATAGGCACATTTGCTCTTGTGATAGCTCAATATAACTAATAAATTTATCTTTATTGTCCTTAATTGGTTGCCCTTTAGCATTCCATTGGAGGGATATTTTTGTCTAGTTATCCTCCGTCTATTTACTTCTGTCATCGACACTAAACCCTTTCTAATCTCAATTGCCTCCTCCTGAAGTTGATCATCATTCATTGTCAAACTAGGAGTAGTATTGGGAGCATTACCACTAGCTACAACATCAGGGCCATCGCTGGGGTCGACACTGGGGCCACTGCTAGGTTCAACACTAGGGCCACCCTTGAAAACATTGAGGTCATTTTGACCTTTGCATTTGCCTTTCTTGGGAGCCATTTACCTATAAAATAAAAGAACACACATAATTAGAAAATCAATGGACACATGAAATAATTATTTACAAAATTCACCAAACATACATGTAATAGTTATTTTGAAAATAAAAAACCATATGCGATAATTAAATAAACATAAGTAATAATTATTTACAAAATAAAAACACACATGTTTAACTTGGTCTTTTCCTTTTTCTTGTCTTCTTTTGATGTTTTCCTTGCTTACTCTGGTCTCGAATTCTTTTTCCTCTCTTTGATACCCAAATACCTTCAGTATGATCATTTCTCATATAGAAGGCTTCACCTTCAGTGAAATCACTTTTAAGTGACATTCTTAAAAATGGATCATCCTCAACAATAATATCATCCATGTCTTCAATGAATTTGTTTATCAAAAAAATAATGGACCAATTAGTTTTAGCAGGATTAAGAACATAGAATACTTGTCGAGTCTGCAAAGCAAGGATGAAAGGCTCATCTTTATACCCTTCTTTGTTCAGATTCACCTGTATCAACCCTGAGTTATCATCAATTAAAAAGCCATTTTTATGGTCAACCCACTTACAACCGAAGACCAAAATCTAAAAATTTGCATAATCCAACTCTCAAATGTGCTCAATTACCCTAAAGTATGACATATTTGCATATGTTTAGAGCTAGTTACATGCATTGCATGAGCAACAAGGGTGACACCACTATTTTGCATTGTGCTTCGACTGTCTTGCTCTTTAGTATAGAAGGTGTATCTATTGATAAGATAGCCAGCATAAGAAGCTGCTTGCATGCTCAAACCTCTAGCCAACCATCTCACTTGTTCAAAAATAGAATCAGGATTCATATTGAACTTATCACGAATATGTTCTTTAGCCAATGTGCAAATTGCTTATTATGTTCTTTCACATACCAAGTTTGACCCCCATTAGGATTATCCTTTTTAAGCTTAGCCAAGTGCTTATTTGTAAATTCTTGAACCTCTTCTGAGTTATGCAACACATAAAGATGTGCTTGATCCTACTATAAATTTGAGACAGTAACTATATTATTTCCTATTATCCCTTCCCCACCTTCCTTTCTTATATACCGAGACACTGGTAGCCTAATATAATTGATATTTTTTAAATACTAGTACAAAATTCAACCACTTCTTCATTGATTCTTTCAACAATGCAACCTTCAGGTCGACTACAATT